AAAAGAAATAATACCAAACATTATACAGCCCCTGTTAAAAGCCAGATACCATTCTAAGTGCCCTAAATAGATTGAGACTTATTTTTCATTATAAGATCTTATATGGTAGATACTAATATTACCTCCTTTTTACAGGTGAGGAAAGTGAGGCACAGAGAGTTTAAGTAGTTTGACCACAGTTACAGAGCTAGTAAATGACAGAGTTGCAGTCTGAACCCAAATTATTATCCTTCAGAACACATCCTTACCTCTGAGGTCCACTGTACTTGTTTAAGGATATCATTTCTTCCAGAACCAGACCCTCACCATGTAATCAAAAACCCTGGAGCATGGTGATAGCAAGGACTTTACTCTGCCGCTCTCACCAAGGTCCTGCTGTGGGCAGTCTTTGTATGTGGATAATTAACCTCTTCTTTAATCCCTTCTATGTGAGGAGAGTGAGCTTGTTACAAGCCAAACTTATGTCCTTCCCCTGCTTCAAACCCCGCAGTGGCTGCTCATTTCACTTCAGGAAACATGCCTCTTCCTGTCTGCCCACCCCAGCCCCTTCCTCTTCAGCTGTTCTCACCATCTTGCTTTGGGCCAGTCACACTTGCATTCCCACGACTCCTTGAATACTCCAAGCTGTTGGTCTCTCAGGAACCCCATCCTACAGGGTTTGGCTTAGAGGACACTTCTCTGAACCCTCCTCCTGCCCCCTCCTCTAAATCAGATCCCTGTTATAATCTCTTTAGTGGCAGAGAACAGCTTTGAGAGCTAATAGAGAAGGAGCAATCAATTCTCCCAAGCCTCTCATTCTAGATCTCATCTTTGTTCCAAGACAGGAAATGGGTTGTGAAATCTGGATGGTTCCTTTATCTTCTTGGTACCTTCTAACCTCTTCCCTGATGTGTGGAAGGAAGGTTTGTTTTGAATTTTGTAAGAATAACAGCAGGAAACTACATTTTCTCTTTCAGATTACAGCTCACAGATTTGTTAATCCATGGCAAAAAAACAAAACGCAATTTACTGTGACCAGTAAAATGGAGGAATGGCTTCTGACACGGGTAGGCAGTTTGGCTCAGACATATCTAAGACCCCCTTTCCTTTAGGGATTCTTGTTCCAATTTGGTTCAGTAGTCTCGTACTTGTACTCCACTGTAGAAACATATCAAGGCAGTTGACATGGTCAGAGGTCACTGGAATCTCCGTGGCCTCCTTCTCCTCTTCCCTCCATGCCACTTGCCACCCTCCCCAGTTCTAAATGCAGTCATTCTAACACTGGGTGGGAGGCCGCCTCTGGTGCCACCAGAGGGACAGATCTTTGTCTCAGCTGCCCTCCCTGACCCTGGCTCTTTTCCAGGGTCCTGACACAAGGCACCGAGCCCTGATGGACATGATGGGAGGAGTTCTGGAAGTCAAGAAGGAAGATATTTTGAGAATGGTGAGATTTCTGGACATTCTTATGGAAGGTGGAATGGGGTAGAGAGAGCTACTTAAATCTGATCATTCTTGTCTATAATAACCTGAGCCTTAGAAATTCTACAGCTACAAATATACAGTACCTCATAAACAAACCACATCAGGCAAATAAGAAATTTGAAACCCCAGGCTTGCCTTCTCATCTGACATAAAGCAAACAAAAGAACAAAAACAGGCAACCATAGTGGTTCTTATCCCTATAGAAAGCAGGATTAACGCTGCACCCATAATTCTCTGGATATACCAAGAAACATTCCATTTGATACCTGCCATAGGTGTCCCTGGAGCTCAGATCCAGTTCTAGCTATGAAGATATCAACATGTACCTCTGAACCTGTCACTTAAGAATCGCTGTACATCCCAAATTGCCCACTCTCGCTTATGTCACAGAAAAATAGTTGTAACATTTTTTCATATCCTTTCATTACAGTGTCAGGCCATCATCTTGCCAATGTGAAGAACTATATCTCTTTAAAAGTCTTTGGGGCTTATTTTAATTTAATTTAATTTAATTTTAGAGAGAGAGAGCATGCATGCATGCGTACACTCAAGCAGGGGAGGGGCAGAGAGAGAGAGAGAGAGAGAGAGAGAGAGAGAGAGAGAGAATACCAAGCAGGCTCCATGTTCAACACAGATCCCAATGTGGGGCTCAATCCCACGACCCTGGGATCATGACCAGAGCTAAATATCAAGCATCAGATGTTCAACCAACAGAGCCACCCAGGCATCCCAGGGCTCTTTATTTAAGTTGTAATGATGGGGCACCTGGGTGGCTCAGTCAGTTGAGCATCTGACTTCGGCTCAGGTCATGATCTCGCGGTTGGTGAGTTTAAGCCCCATGTTGGGCTCTATGCTGACAGCTCAGAGCCTGGAGTCTGCTTCAGATTCTGTGTCCCCCTCTCTCTCCGCCCCACCCCTGCTTGTGCTTTGTCTCTGTCTTTCAAAAATGAATTAACATTAAGAAAAAAATTAAACTGTAATGATAACCCTGAACCTTCACTGTACTGCTATATTTATGTTTGAGGTACAGTATATGCTTTCCTTTATATCTTCAGGTGATTCCTCAACCTGCTTTCATGGCAAAACCTGATGCTGTATGGTCTGAAGAAGAGAGGAAACAATTTAAAGAATATGAGAAGAAAGTTAAAGAGTTAAATGAAGAAAGAGAGAAATATAGAAAGGTCAGAAGAGCAAGGAATTAATGTACCCCACCCAAGTTTCATTTCAGTATCTTTTAAAATTGAGTGTTCTTTATTCCCTCAGTATCTTGAGTAGCTCCAGGATAGTGTTTCAGCTTAAATTCTCAAGAGACTTAGGGGAAGTGGGTAGAGATAAACTTAGAGTTAACACAATTTCAAACAGAAAGAACATATTGCAATGATTGTGTTTTTTTAAGTTCTTATTGATTTCAATATTTCCCGCATAGTTACAATTCATTTGGTCCTCCATTAATTCTTAAGATGTTTAGTGAACATGTATTATAGTATATTGTAGGCACTGCTCTCTATCTTCTACATCTGTTTCAGTTTAGTAATACTCTTGCTTGATTTGCTCTCAATCTCAAGGAAAGGACTTGACAAAAGAATGACATAATCAACACAGCACGTAGTTTACAGTTGTAATTTGAGATACCTGCAATGCAGTTCTATTTTTATCTCTTTGCATCACCAAGAAACATTCCAACATTAAAATTGCTTGCAATTATAATAGGGATATAAAAGCTGATGGTATACAACCAAATAAAAAAAATTTATTCCTCTGTGAAGAAAGTAAAACCATGCCATCATTTCAGGCAGGACAGTTTGTCAGCTTTATAGTGGCTGTATCTCATGAGCAACTTCTTTAAACCTATTGTTAACCTGTTCCTGCTTTTATTCACGGCAGTCCTCTAACAGTGCCCTAACATTTCATCCCAAGGTAGGACTTACCAAAAAGCCAAAATGAGCAGTCTTGAATGCAGTAAAAATGTGAAGGCATTGGGGACTCTAGATGCCTAAGGTGGTGGCATTTATTGCATGGTCTCGTATTGTGAAATTAGTCTGCTGCCTGTGTCCCCACTTCCCTGTTCCTTGGTCACACTCAATGGGTAAAAGCCAGCCTTGACTAAAGCCAGTACTTGGCCTTCTCTGTGCCTACACCTGCTGACTGGTTTCCCTCGAATGACCTTAATCATTATTGGGTCCTTAGAGCTGTTCAGCAACACTGTTCTCTTTTTCCCCTAGCTTAGTCCATCACCTGGGGTATGTTGTCAAAAACGCAGATTCAGTTCTGTCATTCTGAGGAAATGGAAGGATCCTGATATTTCTTTTTTTTCTTTCTATAATTTATTTTTTATAATTTATATCCCAGTTAGCACATGGAGCAACAATAGTTTCAGGAGTAGATTCCTTGAGCCTCTTACCCATTTAGTCCATCCCCCCTCCCCAACCCCTCCAGCAACCCTCTTTTTGTTCTCTATATTTAAGAGTCTTTTATGTTTTGTCCCCCTCCTTGTTTTTATATTATTTTTGCTTCCTTCCCTTATGTTCATCTGTTTTGTATCTAAAGTCCTCATATGAGTGAAGTCATATGATATTTGTCTTTCTCGGATTCATTTCTCTTAGCATAATACCCTCTAGTTCCATTCACGTAGTTGCAAATGGCAAGATTTCATTCTTTTTGATTGCTGAGTAGTACTCCATTGTATATGTATGTACCACATCTTCTGTATCCATTCATCCATGGATGGACATTTGGGCTCTTTCCATACTTTGGCTACTATTGATAGCACTGCTATAAACATTGGGGTGCATGTACCCCTTCGAAACCACACACCTGTAGGATCCTGAGATTTCTAACAAGCAACCTGGTGGTGCAGCTGCTGCTGGTCGGAGGACCGTGCTTTAAGTAGCAAGATCTTAGAGGACTGTGCCACATGTTCTCCCCTGTCTTCAAACTTCCAACACCTGACCTCTTCAACGCACTCTTACCCTATTTTCTATTTCACTGGGAGGAGAGAAGCAACTAGAAGAGATTTCCCTTACTCTTCCACCTCCTCATCTATCTTCTGCCTGCGCTAGAATCCATAGACTCTTCCTGCCTTTCTGTCTCTTAGGGATGAAATGGCCTTGCATCTGCCCGAGCTGGTCCTTCACTTGTGCACCCAATCCCCTACCACCTTACGATTCAACATTGTTACTCCTGCAGTTTCCCCCTTTTTCCTGCATCAATTTTTCCCTTCAGCATAGACACATGTTGTAATATTATACATTGGATACATCTCTCATCTTTTAGAAGAGAAAAAGAAAAAAAAACTCCTTTGAAGAGGATTCTGGAATTCTTTCTATGATCCTTGTGACTTTTGAGTTAGTCTGAATGTACTTCAAAATAAGCTAAAAGGAAAAAATAACTCTCTGGACCCCACTTTCAATCCACTGCCCAGCGTCTCCTGAAAAAAAACCTAGAAAAATCTGTGTTCATTGTCTCCAGTTTCTCCCGATCTTTTCGAAAAGCCTTTGTATTCTGGAAAATATCAAATATATGAAAGAGTAGAGAGAATAGTAAAATGACCCCCCCCATCCAGCTTCAACAATTATCAATTCATGGCAAATCTTATTTCGTTTTATACCTCCACCAATTTTCCTTACACCAGATTAAATTTGCCAATTTTTATTTTAGAATTATTCAAATGTACAGAAATGTTACATGAGTAGTACTGTCTATATACCATATACCTATACCCTCCAGTTTTTAATATTGCCACATTTGTGTTTTATATTTTTCTCCTGAATTATATATATATGGTATCAAAACATCATACTATACATAAAATGATATGAAAACTTCATACTATTACCTCCAATTCCAACATAGTATTTAGATCTCCTTTCTCGGCGCAAACTCTAGTTCCCCAACTATAAATGTATTTATTCATTTGCTCAGTCCTACAATATGCCTAAAATGCCTCTACAAAAAGCAAAACTTATTGGTAGGTTTTAAGATTTCCTTGCACCTCTTTTTGTTCTTAGGATATATCCACTGAGGGTGGGCCACCTGCACGTTATATTCAGAATTTGTTTGGATGAATCTTCTTTTTCCCTTCTGTGTGGACATTATCAATTTGATATAAAGTTCTTCACGTAGGACTATTCTTATTCAGGGGGAAGAGGCCAGTGTGTCTTCTGATTCCATGATTTTCTTTGTTTCTGCAGAACCCTTAATGTTCACTTCTTCCTTCCTTCTTTCCCTTTACCCCAAGTCTCCTGGAGGCACCTCTGTCTTCCACTCTGCCTCATTCTCCCCAGAAGCAGCACTGCCTGACATTGCACCTCAAGTCTCTTCTTTATGATTTGCCAGGGGCTCCTCTTTGGGCACCTTGACAGCTGCCACCCTAATCCAAATAGTGTCATTTCTTACCTGATTTATGGCATCCGTTTCCCTGCTCTTCCTCTCCCCTGATCTGTACCCTTCCCATTCTCTCCCATCACTCTCCCCATCCTTAAGTGTGTCTACTGCACTGGCTCCGCGGACCTCCATGGATCCCCAGTGAACTCTTGACTCCCACACTCACAGCTCATTCTTGCCATGGACACTTGACATGCTGTGGCCATTGCCTGGGGTGCCCTCGCCCCATTTGGCCACACGCTGTCTCACCTCTTTTGGATCTCTACTCGGTCGTCAGCTCATCTCCCTAAATAACATGGCAAACTCTCTCCTCACTAGTCCCACTCTGTCCCCCACACCCTGCTCTGGTGTTCTCCAGAGTGCTCATCCCCACCTGGCCTGCTTCCCCTGCACTCGTGTATATATTACCTGCCTCCTCCACTAGAATGTAATGTGAGGCAAGAGAACTGGTTTGTTTTGCTCTTTACTATATTTCAAGTTTTGAGAACTATGCTTGATCCATTGGCACTCAATAAATATTTCTTGAATGAGTCAATAAATTTATTGACACTTATTATGTACCAGGCACAGACCAAGGGCCTGGGGATTTACCACCTTCATCCTCAAGAGCCTGTAGTCTGGCCAACTACAACAATACTTTCTTAAATTGCAAGCCATGTGTTTGTCCAGGGCTGGGAGAAATTCTTGTTCTCATGGGTTCTGCACTGTTCATCCATACCCTCCTCTTTAGTGTCCCATCTCCCATCTCCCTGCTTCTCATTTCTCAGCACCTGATGCAGACATTTTTAGTTAAAATTAGATTTTCCCAGGGATGTTTGAGGAAAAGTGACACCCAATTCTTTAACAAATACTCCTTTGATTCCCACTGTGGGCTGGGGCTGTGCCAGATCCTGGAGGACGCTTGCTGACTAGACAGACACAGCCCTCGCCCCTCACGGTGCTCACTGTCTTGGGGGGGAGGGAGTTACATATTAACTGGACATTCACAAAATAGTCATTCAACTACAATGCAATAAATCAGCACGGACAAGGCCAGGTGCCATCTGTGACAGTAAACACAGAGGCACTGACTGAGATTGGGGCCACTGCTGTTCACCAGGCCCCCTTTACAGGCTGGCGTGCCCATCCCCTTACCGCTGTGCATGCTACAGATAAAGACTCAGACCTGAGACCTCTGGCACCTTGCCCTTGGCTCATCAAGGGGGCATCCTTGTTGTACCACACAAGGTTATCCAGAACAGCCTGTGACTGACTGATGACATGGGGATGCAAAAGTCCAGCCCCCTTGACCCAAACTGGGACAGCTCAGTGGAGCCTATTACCCTTATCCCCTGGGAATCAGGCAAAGGCTGGGCTACCTAAGGGCACATCGTTGCTCAGCCTCTGCCCCTTCCTTGGCTGCTTCCCTTCCCCCCCTTTACAGATGTCTCTGAAAAAGCACTCCCTCCCAAAATCACATACACTGGAATCCCGTTCCAGGCTTTGCTTCTCAGGCTCAAGATAGTGCCTAAGACGGGACCCAAGGTAGGCTTACTTGAGAAAGTGACTTTGGTGCTCACGTTAGAAGAATGAGAAAAAAATGACAGGTTGAAGAGCAGGGAATGGAGATCAGACAGATGGAAAAGCACATGAGAAGAGCCTGCAGTGAAAAGAATGTGGGGTGTTTGAAACACAGAGCAAAAGGCCGTTCTGACATTAGAAAAAGTTCCTTTCTGTCCGGAGAGAGGGGTGGGCTGGGATCCTTGGCCATGTGATGGTGCTACCATTGTCCAGGGACACAGGGCCTGGATACACAGCTACTGGGCCCATAACTGGTGGGATGTTTCCATTCCTATGAGATAGTGTCATAAATTATGATAAATAAACTGGCCCTGAAGTGTGCTTTTTCTGTATTTGTTTTATTTTAATATTTCCTCGTTGCTTCATTAGCTTAATTTGGGTGGTGTTTCTCCTTGTGTCAAGGGCCTCTATACATCTAGCTAAACTCTCTCCATCACCTTCCCAGAATATGTCTCTCACTTCGTTAAACCAGCATAGATAGAACTTAGCTTTTTAAGGTAAACTTAAAATAATGTATTATTACCACCATAGTAATAATTTATTCAAGGAAGAATTATCAGTGGATGCTAAAACTGGTGGATAAAAGTTTGATGAGGAACAAGATTTTTACATGGTTCCTAAGTATCTTCCCACAAATTGATTACAAATGGAAAAATAGCAACTGTATGATAGAGACACTGGCAGACAACGCTTGACCAGTTAACATCACCAGTAGTGAAACAAACCAACATCATGTCTCCTCATGTGGTGCCCTGAGAAGGATACAACATGATTTATGTAGTGTTCCTGCTAGAAATGTATAACCTGGTCTATGCATGAGAAAACATCAGACAGACCTAAACTGAGTGACAGTCTACAGAATGACTCAGCTGTATTTGAGCGTCTGTAGCTTATTCTCAAATGGTTGAGAAAAAGATAGAGATAGGGAGAGAGAGGGAGAAGGGATTGAGCAAGTGATAAAACAAATGCCTTGGAATATTAGCATTTGATTAATTTGGTAAAAACTATGTGGGGATTCTTTGTACTATTCTGTAAATACCTCTGTAATTTTTTCTGTAAATTTAAAGTCATATCAAAAATTTTAAGTTACAAAAACTTTTAAAGATAAAAATTATTTGTAATGGTATGTCTAGGATTGAACTACAGGTATTTTCTTTAAAAATATAAGTTTAGGAGCGCCTGGGTGGCTCAGTCAATTAAGCATCCGACTCTTGATTTTGGCTCATATCATGATTTCATGGTTCGTGAGACTGAGCCCTGCGTCAGGCTGTGTGGTGACAGCATGGAGTCTGCTTGGGATTTTCTCTCTCCCCCTCTCTCTCTGCCCCTCCTCTGTTCGGTCCCTCTTGCACATGCTCGCGCTCTCTCTCTCTCTCTCTCTCTCTCAAAATAAATAAATAAACTTTAAAAATATTGAGGAGGGCACTTGCTGGGATGAGCACTGGGTGTTGTATATAAGCGATGAATCACAAGGAACTACTCCCAAAACAGTGGGTACACTGTATGTTAGCTAGCTTTACAATAAATTATATTTTAAAAAGTAAACAAATTCACCAATGTGGTATTTTCCATGAAAAAAATATATGAATTTATAGTTTCCTACTCACCTACTCTTGCTTAGCTCTAAGTCTATCTCTGCCTCTACCTCTTTATCTATACACTCACTCCTTATTTCCTTAAAATCTAAAAAATTCCGTGAAGATATATCATGGCTTTAAAAAAAAAAATCAAGATTTTTTAGGGTCAGATTGTGTGCCTGGAAATTTCTGTTTTATATAGAGAGAGTAAGAATTTTCCAGAAAGATTTGCTGTAATTTGTTTTACTAGGCCTTATTCTGCCTGATCATTAGCCATGATCAGTTATGCCTTTTTTTTTTCCAGCAAAATCTTTTTAAAGCAAAATCTTTTTAAAGACTCACAGTATATTAAACAGATCCAAATGGAACATCTCTGGTTGAAGAGAGTGGAAGGCCCAGAGCACTTCAGAAGGCCCGTCCTTCCCCTACCCTTGCAGCAAAATGTGAACACCACTTCCTTGCAGCATTTAATGTTCCTAAACATTAACTTTGCTATTGATTTCCTTTCAGTCATTAGAAGCAGAAATGAAGAAACTTCAAAATTCCATTCAAGAAAGCACACAGAATTTTGATGAACATTTGAAAAGACTCTTTGAAAGGAGAGTAAAGGCAGAGATGGTTGTCAACCAGGTAAATAAAAGCTTTTACTTACATGACTTTTTCTTTTAATGTTTATTTATTTATTTTTGAGAATGAGAGAGAGTGTGAGCAGGGGAGGGGCAGAGAGAGAAGGGGAGACAAAGAATCCAAAGCAGGCTCTGAACTGTCAGTGCAGAGCTAGACACAGGGCTCGAACTCACTAACCATGAGGTCATGACTTGAGCCGAAGTCAGACATTTAACCAACTGAGCCACCCAGATGCCCCATGACTTTTATTTTAAGGAGGCTCCAGGGCCTCTCTTTGTTCTTAGGAAAAAGACCAACAACCTTCCTGCTCATGTGGGCCTGGCTCCTGCTCCAGCCTCACCTCTGCCCCTCCCGTCTTCACTGGCCACACTCCCTTTGGTGCCTTGAGCACAGCAGTGTGCCCATTCCTCCTGGCTCTGCCTCCTGACCTGTATCTACTCATCTTTCAGGTCCCAATTTACAAGCCAGTTCCTCAGACTAGGTTAGAGCTTCCTAGTATATGCTCTGACCTTTTATTTTCTATTACTTATTGCAACTGAATTTTAATTTATATGAGATTACTTTTTAATGCTCCCAAAACTATAAGTTCCATGAACTCTGTCTTGTTCACCCCTGTATCTCCAGCAACCAGCAAAGGGCTGGGCTCATACTATGTGTTAAATGAATGAATAATCCATCTGACCCAAAGAGCCAATGAAAAATCTGGCTTAACTTGATTCAACAGTAAGAATATAAATGAAGTGTACAGTAACTAGAAACAAGAAGACCAAAGGGTGAAGCCTTTCAATTCTAAGGGAAAATTATTCCTAGCATTGGATTCTACACTGCCCAAACTATCATTTGAGTGTAAGAGGAGAATAATGATATTTTGAGAAACACAAGATCTTGAAAATTTATATGTGTCTCTAAAGGCAAGAGGGGTCAACCAAAAAAGATGAAAGAAGATAAGGGAACCTCTAGGAGGATGTCTCTATCCTCGGGGTCCCAATAGGAATGGTACACTGAAAGAGTTACATTGAAGAGGGTTTAATGCAGGGACTCTTTACTGAGGTATGGGCAGGGTTAAGGGAAACAGCAAGGAATGGCCAAGAGACCAGAAACAGTGGGAAGCCCATAACATTTCTAAATCTAACGAGGCAAGGGAAGGGAGCTACTACCACTACCAGCAAGAGCTGTAGCCTTGAGAGAGGGGCTACTCCTGGGGAGTCATGGCCACAGACAGATGAACATAACCACTGGCCCCACAGGGAGGGAGTGTGTATATGGTAGTTGGGTCGGGGGAGATTGGTAATGAATGCCCCAGAACTAGGCATAAGAACAGCGTTAGTCATATGGCCAGAAAGTAGAAACAATCCTAATGTCCAATGACTACATATAGATAAATAAAATATGGTTTATCCATATAATGGAATATTATTTGGCAATGACAAGTACTAACATGTGCTACAACATGGGTGAAAAGTGAGTTATATGAAATGAGTGAATTGTATGAAATATATACTAATAAAGCTATTATTTTAAAAAGATGTGCTTAGAACATCTTTTCATACAAAATAATGAGGAAACTATCAAAGACTACCAGATAATATCCAAAGGACTCAGGAGCCAATTTTAAAAGCTCCCGTAAAGGGAATACTTTAAGATTCAACAATGATAATCATTGCAATTATCTGAAACCCACCAAAGTTGTTTAAATTTGTGAATTTGCGGTATTTTAAAAAGAAAAATGCCTATCATTCACCTTCAGACGATAACAACCAATTCATTATTTGAAAACTGACAGAGAGAGTGTCGAGAATTGATTCTGCCTTCCTGTATGAATTGTACCACTAGGTAACTACACTGCAGATAAGGAGGAGCATCTGTGTATTTACAAAGGAGTTTTAATGAATAAAGTGAAAAAAAAAGGAACTACAGAAATAGAATATCACCATCCTACAACTCTCCATGGATTAATGGGCCTGGGCATGCAGTGTCTACACTTACTAACATCACAAAAAAGCAGACAATAGTATGTGTCTCCTGATCAAAGGACATAGTATCACCTACGGTATTGCCAAAAGGATCACACATGGGTCCGATCAGGCCTCTGATCAGCTGCCAGTTTTCAGGCAGTACATGAGATGAAGGATACTGATGAACTCACCGGAAGTATGCAGTTGAATAAAACTCGTCGATTTAGTAAACCGGCTCACAAGCATCATCTGAAAAAATGGAGAAAGAAAGAAAAGGAAGAAAAGGAAGGAAGGAAGGAGGTGTGAGGAGGAAGGAGGAAGGAGAGAAGGAGGAAGGGGGAAAAGAGGGAGGAAGAGGGAGGAAGGAGAAAGGAAGAAGGAAGGAAGGAAGAAAGGAAGGAGGAAGGAAGAAAGGAAGGAAGGAAGAAGGAAGAAAGGAAGAAGGAACCAGATCTAAGATTCAAGATTTTTTTTCAGGTGGCAATTTTTTAAATGGACAAGTTATGCTCTAGTGCCTAGAGATATACTTGGGTAATAAAAACATAAAGAAACACAAGAGAGTGATTATTATGAATGTCAGGAAGGTGGTTATTACTGGGGTTGAGACTGTGAAGGGGACACATGGGAGGGGAAGCTGTATTTCTTGAACTGTGTGGTGATTGCAAGGGTGTTTTACCTTTATAACTCAAGCTATACGCTGTTGTGTGTATTTTTTCTGTATATATATTTCACCTTACAATGAAAAGATGGAAAAGGTAAAATAACTGAGTAGTTAGTGCAAGTGTCTATATTCCCTTTTTCTTGAAAAGAATTTCTCTTATTTGTGTGTCATGAGTCTGCTTGATGAGTGCCAAGTCTGTGGCCCTCAGTAGAAAATCATTTCTCAAACAGAAGTAGTGATCATCTTCCCCACCTTTTGAAATATTTCCACAGGAGGAACTGAAAATAAATAACCTCATTTTTTCTTTGCTGTTGGACGAAGAAATAAGCTCCAGAGAAGCATTCCTAAACAACTACCTTATAAAGAAGCAGGCGGAGAAAGTAAGGACAGTATCTGATATCTTGAGTATAACCAGAGCTGACACACCTAGGCCCTTCCCTTCTTGTACATCCCTCTTAGCTGTGTGTGTTCCTTGGCTCCCTGCCAGGGACTTTGCTCCAGGGTCAGATGAAAGCACTTGCTGTAGTCTGTTCATGAAGTTATGGGATTCCGTGTCTGTAACCATTTAGTCAAAAGAACTGTGTAACTTTGATATGATATATGATTTATAAAATGAGACAATATAGCTTCATGGTTGGAAGGACTCACTTCTAACTACTGACTGGCTGTGGGACCTTGGACAAGACATAGAATCTTTTAAGCTATTTGCAAGCTCTTCTCTGGAAGTATTGTCTTCTCTGGATCATTTGGAACCCTACGTTTTACTAAGCATGTGAGTAACAGATTAGCTTATAGAATGAAAAGCTGTCATATTCTGAAAAACCCTAATAAATAGGGGTTGAATAGATAAGTCTTATTAAAGAGACAATGAATGCAAAATGCTTATCACATAATAATTTTCAAAAGGTGTCAGCTTTTATTGATAGTATTAATAAAGAACATTTATGTATGAATGATTTAGAGTATCATATATGACATATGAACTTAGTTTTTGCTAACAGTCTATTAAATAGCATATGTAAAGCACCTTCTAAATGCAACCATCCTCATAACAACCCTGCAGGGTCCTGGATTTCTTTCCTAGTTGAGGAGAGTTGGTAACATGCCTAAGTCACCCATTAGAATGTAAAACAGCAGGAATTGGAACTGTGGAAATAAATTAAGACCATCTAGATGACAATAAGCAGACTATTTATTCAGAGCTTGGTATAGTAAGGGTTCAGCCACCATCACTTGTGTTTGGCAGACACTCACAGTCAGGCAGGGGGTGGGAAAGCTTTATAATAAGGAAGAGAGGGCTTCAGATGCACCCTGATTAGAAGTTGTTGGCATGGGGAAGCCAGGGGCAAGGTAATTAGAAGGCAGGCAACCTGTGTGATTAATTTGGGGAGCATATTTGGCTTTGTCTGTTTGGTCCTAAACTGGAAATGGCGGCAAAAATTAGGAAAGCTGAAAGTTACTGACCAAGTCCTGGCAGTTTGGGGTTGCTCGCTGCTGAGGATATGGTTTAGCTTCCTGGCTAGTTGCTACAGGGGTTGTGGGTCAGAGTCCTATTTGTATATATAGTCTGGCCATTGTCTGTTTATACATTCAGTCTCTCAGAAGCCAGCTCCATGTGAATCCCAAGACTGTGCAATTCCATCATCCATACTTCCTTTAGTCACTTAACACACTCACATGCAGGCCTGGCTATACTTAGAAACAGGTGATTAGATGTTTGTTCTTTCAAAATCTCCAACTGATTTACTTTCTTCTACAAATCTTATCTGTAATGGATATTCCACTGACACATTTATCTTATACTAGGAAATGTGTTGTTATTTTTAATATCCCCAATATTTTTGTTTATCCTGAAAAACTTAGTTCCAATTGCCTATTCTTGGTGTTATTACAGAAACAGACTTCAGAGGCCATCCAGAAAGCCAAAGAAGACCTTGATACGTACAGGGAACACTATGACAACTTATTGGCAGAAGACAAAGTGAGAGCCATTGTCTTACCCATTCACCAATGCAATAGAGTTGCTGCCTAGTTTTGGGGAAGATTAAAAGGAATGTAATTTAACTTCCTCATAGATTTTTCTCCTATTATAATTTTCAGTTATCAGTGAACTTCATTCTGTGCCATTGTATATTTCTGATAATAATTGTATAAAATAAATTTTTGTAAACATCTCTGGTTTAAACATTCTCTTGTACAAAAAAGAGAGATCATCTAGACTTAAGGGCTTCTCAGACTTTAAGTTGCAATCCCCATCAATTGGTCATGAAATCAATTTAGTAAGCTATAACCAGTAGTTTTAAAAAATTTATTTTAATTCAAGTATAATTAATGCACAGTATTCATTTCAGATGTACAATATAATGATTCAACAGTTTTATACATTACTCAGTTCTATACATTACTCATGATAAGTGTACTCTTAATCACCAACACTGGCGTGCCTGGGTGGCTCAGTTGGTTAAGTGTCCGACTCTTGATTTCAGCTCAGGTGATGATCTCACCTCAGGTGGTGATCTCATGGTTCATGAGTTCAAACCCCACACTGGGCTCTGCACTAACAGTGCGGAGCCTGTTTGAGATTCTCTGTCTCCCTCTCTCTCTGCCTCTCTCCCACTTGCAATCTCTCTCTCTCCCAAAATAAACATTTAATCCCCCTCACCTATTTCACCCATGCCCGCACTCACCTACCCTGTGGTAACCATCAGTTTGCTTTCTATATTTAAGTGTATGGTTTTTTATCTCTTTTTTTCTTTGTTCTTTTGTTTTGTTTCTTAAACTCCACATATGAGTGAAATAATATTGTATTTGTCTTTCTCTGACTGACTGACTTAGCATTATATCTTCTAGGTCCATCCATGTTGTTGCAAATGGCAAGATTTCATTCATTTTTATGGCTGAATAATATTCCGTTGTATGTATATGATACATCATCTTTATCCATCCATCTATCAATGGGCACTTGTGTTGCTTCCAAAATTTGGCTATCGTAACTAATGCTGCAGTAAACACAGATGTGCATAATCTTTTTGAATCAGTGTTCTTGTATTCTTTGGGTAAATACTCAGTAGTGGAATTACTGGATCATATGTATGACCAGTAGTTTTGTTTTGTTTTGTTTAAAGTTTAGCCATTTATTTTTGAGAGGGGGGAGAAGGGCCGAGAGAGAGAGAGGGAGAGAGAGAATCCCAACTAGGCTCTGTACTGCCAGTGTGGAACCCAGCTCAGGGCTCGAACCCACGAACTGTGAGCTCATAACCTGAGCCAAAATCAAAAGTCAGATGCCTAACCTACTGAGCCACCCAGGTGCCCCTGACCATTAGTTTTGTAATGGAAAAGAACAGGCTAGAAAAACATATAGAATAGAATAGAATAGAATAGAATAGAATAGAATAGAATAGAATAGAATAGAATAGAATAGAATAGAATAATAGAATAGAATACCTTGCATGTTTTCAACGTTTATTTATTTTTGGGACAGAGAGAGACAGAGCATGAACGGGGGAAGGGGCAGAGAGAGAGGGAGACACAGAATCGGAAGCAGGCTCCAGGCTCTGAGCCATCGGCCCAGAGCCCGACGCGGGGCTCGAACTCACGGACCGCGAGATCGTGACCTGGCTGAAGTCGGACGCTTAACAGACTGCGCCACCCAGGCGCCCCTACCTTGCATGTTTTACTTGTAAATATTATTTTGTGAAATTGTAGTTCTGAATGATTTCTAGAACCTTATATGAAGTAGTACTTATAATTCACTGAAGTACTTCATATTCAAAATAAATCTTTGATAAATCCTTGCATAGTGAGAGGTCACCCTTCAACAAATCTACTTTTTAACCAAATTTTCATAGATTTTTAAAATCAAAGTGATACAATCCTATATTTTGAAGAGTGCTGTCAACAAAGAAAGGGCTTCTGAAGAGAGTTGCAATCCCAGCAATGATATGTCTGTCCTTAGGTTTTGGATCGCAGCTTTAAAAAAGAATTTTCTGAAATTCCCAGTCACCAGGTGGATATACTCTACAAACTTTTTAAACGCCGACCAAGGTTTGTTTCTCCTTTGCTATCACGTTTCTGAGAAAAAAACATTTGTAAGTGAAGAGGAATATTATTATATTTTGGCTTTTTCAGTCCCACTTAGATGGAAATATTCAATATAACATATTTTATGTGAAAATGTTCACGTGTCTTTATCATAACTCTGGGCTTTTTAAGATTATTCTTAAATCTTAAGGTAAGCAATGAAGAATAATGATTTCATTATTCAAAAAGTGTCTAGGTGAGCATTGTGCTATTTTAGTTCTATGAAAGTAGCACTAAAGTTCCTCTTAAGTTATAGATGGCGTACAGATTTATAGTTTTTCCCAAGATGTGTTCCAGCAAATATGAGGACCTTGTGGTATGAATTGGAATTCATGTAAAAGGCTTCCAGGACAAAATAAGTTAGGGGGAAACACTGGGTTAAAAGAAAAAAAGTTAAACAGTTTTCTTTACTGAAAAACTTCTCAGAACTTGTTTTTGGTCTTTGGATCTCCAAATATAAAAAATGGAATAAGCAGAGTTGTCCAAACTTATTTGGCACTCAGAGCATTTCATGTAATTGTGTTTAAGACAAAGTTTGAAAAATGCCAGTATATATGATTGAAAATAACCATTATCATAAAGGGTTCTAAAATATCTCTTTTTTATACCGAAAGGAGCATTAGAATTACATTTCACAGATTTCCAAATTTTTACAATTTCCATAGTAATCCATAGAAATCCACAGATTTCCATAATTTTCAAATGTAAGCTAGAAACCATGGAATTTGTTACAAAGGTATAGGCTCATTGTGTCTGAGGTACAGACTCATTCTCTCACCCTTGACGGGTTATATACAACCCCGGGGAATTCAACCTAGCACATGCCTCATATCTTGGTTTCCTTATTTTCAAAGGAGTCAGTCATAGTAAGTCTTGTGAAAAAAGAAGGAAGACTTCCTACATATTGGGAGGCAGCAGTGGAAAAAGCATAAGCTTTAGTGTCAGACAGAATTAGCTTTAAATCCTAATTCTACCATCTATCAGACCTGTGGTCTTAGACCAACAGCTTCTCTCAGACTTTCCTCATTCTAGATAGAGAAAGAAGATAACAGTAGTAACTTCACAGCATATTGTACAGCATCTTGATGGTGAGTGGCTGGTACAAATCTTTGTATCCTTCTTTCCTTCCTAGCTACAGCCCAGGGAAACAAAACTAATCTATTCAGGTAGATTTTAAAAGGTGCTTCTTCAGTTGAGTTTATATCTGAAAAATCCCAGGCTAGAGAATATGTGGGACATAACTAGGGAATATCCACACTCCTCTTGGGCTAGACTTCTTCAGGGCAGGTAAAGCTGCCAATGCTGACGATAGTTAGGAACATCAGTAGTCCAGCCAAGGTCATGTCTAGGTGTCCAGGGAGTATGCAAGAAGACCAAAGTAGGTGCTTTTCTCTTTGGAATAGTCCACCAGCCTCCTTCTATTTGGTGGAATAGTCCACCAGCCTCCAAATGTCAAAATAAAGTGTCTTGCAATGTCATATTGATGCTAAGCATTGTATATAACTTAACATTGATTTCTTTTGTGTGAGAATGTGAAAGGTTGATGGGTTTTTATTGGTAATACCAGGATTCAGAAACAGAAAATACAATCAGATACTGCCAGTATTGTGCCTTTTGGAGAGCGACCAGAATCTGGGAAACTGAATAAGGATGCCTTTGCCCAATTAATGAAAGCCATGGATGACTTGGACAATATTAGTAACATGCCAGAAGGCTTGGACCCCTTGGTCTGGGATCATTTCTGCCAAACCAGACGAGCGAAAGTGGAAAATGAACAGAAAGTATATAATAACATTTTATTCCATTTTCACTTCATTTCATTTCAGTGTGCTAATAAATGTAGTTTATAGTGACCTTTGCTTCCAGAAATGCTAATTATTTAGGTTTTCCTGCTAGGATAGTAGTTAGTAATGTTAGTAATAATAATGAGATAAAATATTAACCTTAGTGGTATTAAGGGCTAAGTATAGGCCTGTATTGTAGGCCCACACTGTCCAAAGTGGTGGTCACTAGCCACATGGGGTTATTGTTTACTTGAAATAATGTGGCCAGTCCTAATTGAGACATGCTGTAAGTAGAAAATATACAGAGATTTAGCAGTCTTACTTATGAAAAAGGAATGGAAAATGTCTGTATGTTTTATATTCATTACAGGTTGAAATGGTAATGTTTTGGATATATTGTTTTAAATAAAAAAAATAGCAAAATTAATTTCACCAGTTTCATTTCACTTCTTATAATGTGGCTACTACAAAATTAAAAATTATGTACGTGGCTCACATGTGTGGCTCACATTGTGTTTCCCTTGAAGAGCCCCATTGTGGACACAACTTCCCTTCTCCTCTCTATCCCTGGTCTTGAGTTGTCCTCATCCCATTTTGCAAAGATGAGAATTATATTTCACTAGAACCTACTTTATAGTTTTACTAGAATATTTTTTTAATGTGGCAAAGGTAACAATTTGAGGGTATGTTTGAGAGAAGAATTCTTACTCTTATTGTTTCTTAACCACCCTCTGCCCCCCCACCTCAAAATACCTAAATTCCGTGCCACAAGCATCAGACTGGCATATTTTTACTAAAGAATCTATGATTTTATATTTTTGTCTGAGATGACGAGAATGAATTTGAAAATAAGATATAAGGAAAGTTGTGGTTGCTTGAGTATTTGATTTTCAGTGAGAGGCAAAATTGGATACTTTTCAAATTATTCATGGATGTACCATGTTAAGTTTTAGGTATCTTACATAATGGTGGGAATTTAAATTTTTGTTAATCTCCTAGAAAAATGGGCTTATTAAGGTTTTGTAGCTAAGTTAAAACATGTATGTTTTCCAAAGTTCTTTAAAATTTGTTTGCTTTTATCCCTAGAGCTGCATATGTACTGAGATGTTTGTGGTTTGGTTCCTTCAGGTAAAGCAGAAAGCAGCTGGCTTAATGGAAATGGTCGCTTTCCTCCGGCGGAGAACTGAGGAGGATGAGAAGTTGCAACAGGAAATTGAAAAAGTGTTCCATGAACGCACTGTGTAATTTGAACCTTTCGTTCATGTTCATTTACACAAAACCTAAGCTAAGGCTAAGTTAGATTGTGTTATCATGGGGGAAGAAAGCCTACTCACTGGTTTACAACTGGCACAGACTGGTCTATCTTGCTGGGCTTTATAACTTCTTAAAAAAGTGCATTTTGTTACAAAAGACCTTACTTCAGAATAGAACTTACCTACACGTTCCATTGCTCTTATTAGAAGTAGGCAAGTTTGGGGAAAATCTTATTATTTTTTAATCTGCTCCTTCCACATAAAAATGCAAAGAACTTGTTTCTGCTAATAAGCACTTTGGGGCTCAAGCCACACAAGCAAACTATGTTGAAAATTAGGCAGATATCCAAGAAATTTCCATGTAAACAACTAACCAGCTAATATATTTTTCTTTAGGAAAGTTTGTTCTATTTTGCTAAGTGATTAGGATACTGTTTTAAGTCCTTACTTCACTTTATCCGAATTTACAAACATTTTGATAAATTCTTCTTTGATGTTCCCCAATTCATCATTATACATCATTTTCAGATCCAGGCTATTAGGAGAAATGTGAATTAGCCAGAAATAGATATAAGTAGCATACAGATTAAATATCGTTAATAAAATATCAGAAGTCAATACACAAAGTCAGAACTTTAATAGATTTGTTATTTGGGAGCATCTCAATTTTCTTCCAAAATAATGTTAATCTTTTCTTAATCATAAAGTATAACTTTATGAATGTATTTCTGTCCATGCCATTCTTTGAGCAGCCCAAGTGTAATTCCATATCAGTAAGAGGCATCATAGAGACCTCCAAGAAAGCTCATCATTGGGAAAAGATTTTCTGCATTAATCTCCAGCAGGTTTTTCTTTAGCTTAAGGTTGAAATTTAAGTTGAAAACTAAGTTTGAATTTTATATTCTCAGATAATAGATGAAATTTGAAATATAAGTATATTTCAACTGCTTACTTTGAAGTCTTTTCAATGTAGATTACAGGAAGAGAAGGTGAGATTCCAGTTGAATTTGACAATCCAAATTCTCCTTAAACAAGGACAAGTAGAGCTGGAAAATTTCCAGTTATTGCTGGAGTATCCTGATGCAATTCTCATCAACAAGAGCATAATTGAAGACTTGAATTGTGTGATTCGGGTAATTATCATTTTTTTAAGAAGAAAGCCAACATATTAGCCTGCTGTACCAAAAATTTTCTCATTATTCTCCCATTTCCATGATAAATCATTTTCATTCTGTTAAATCAGTGATTCCAAACTCTGCCTATACATTAGAATCATCTAAAGAACTTTACAAATGTGTCCAGGCCCACCCCCTAAGCATGGGTATTTTTTAAAAGCTTCCCAGATGATTCTAAAGTATAAGAAGTTTAAAACTACAAGGTTAAATGCCTATTCTAATATGCTACCATTTTGTTAGGCTCAATTTACTCATGTAATGATAATTTTAGATAAGATTAGATCATTGATTTTAGACCTTGCTTATTTTCTAATATAAACATTTAATGTCATAAATTTCTCCCTAAGCACTGTTTTAGCTGCATTCTGCAAATTCTGATATTTTGTGTTTTCATTTTCTTTCCATTTAAAATATTTTCTAATTTCCCATTAACTTCCATGTTTGACTCATGGGCTACTTAGAAATGCTATTTAATTTCCAAATATTTGGGGAATTTGTGCTATTTGGGAATTGTGTGCTAATGTTTCCATGCATTTTACTTTTCCAAATACCCTAAACCGACAATACACTGTTACTATTTTTGCTTTAGATAATTTTCTTTTAGAGTGATGAAAAACAAGAAAAAAGCATTTCATATTTCCTTTTATTTTCACTATTTCAAGAGATCTTTCTTTGTATGGATTAAAGTTTCTGCCTTATACCATATGTCTTCTGCTTAAAGAACTTTTAACTGAATTGAATTGCAAATCTGCCTGTAATGAATTCTCTAAGTTTTTCTTTGTCTGAAATTGTCTTCGATTCACCTTCATTGTTGAAAGATAGTTTGCTAGGTTCACTGGATTGGCAGGTTTTTTCTCTCTCTTTTTCCTCTCCTTTTCTCTTTAAAGGTGTTCATTTTCTTTTGGCTTACACAGTTTCTGACAAGGTGCCTACTATATATTTTTAGATCTTTGCTCCTCTTAATGTAATATGTCTGCCTTTGAGATATTCTCTTTATCTTGATTTTCAGCAGTTTGAACATATGTCTAGGAGTGTGTGTATGTGTGTAAGATCCTTTTAACGCACTGTTGAACAATACAGTTTGCTAATATTTTGTTGAGGACTTCTGTATCTCTTTTCATCAAGGCTTTGGCTCTGTGGGGTGCTTGGGTGGCTCAGCCAGTTAAGTGTCCAGCTCTTGCTTTCAGCTCAGGTCATGATCTCATGGTTTGTGGGATCAATCTGCACATCTGACAGTACAGAGCCAGCTTGGGATTCTCTCTCTCCCCCCTCTCTCTTCCCCTCCCCTACTTGTGTTCTCCTTCTCTCTCAAAATAAGTAAATAAACATAAAAAAATTAAAAGATTATGGGCCTGTAATTTTCTTTTCTTGTGGTGTCCTTGTCTGGCTTTGATATCAGGGTAATGCTGATCTTGTAAAATGAGTTTGGAAGTGTTCCCTCCTTTTCTATTTTTTTAAAGAGTTTGAGAAGGATTGGTATTAATTCTTCTTTGAATATTTGGTAGAATTCACCAGTGAAGCTTTCTGGTCCTGGGCTTTTTATTTCGTTGGGAGGTCTTTTATTCTGATTCAGTCTTTACTTACTATAGGTTTATTCAGATTTTCTGTTACTTCTTGAGTCAGTTTTTGTAGTTTGTGTGTTTCTAGAATTGTTTTCTATTTCATCTAGGTTTATCTAATTTGTTGGCATTCAATTGTTCATAGTATTCTCTTACTATATTCTATAAGGTTAGTAGTAATGTCTTTGATTTCATTTCTGATTTTAGCAAATAGAGTCTTTTATCTTTTTTCTTATTCTTTTTTTTTTTTTAATTTTTTTTTTCAAC